TTTGATTGGCTTTTTGGATAATGTGAAAATTCATCTGCTAAAGGCTGGAACTTCTCATCAAATAAAACAGCAGCCTGGAATAAATGGGACTACATCTTAGACTAAGTTTATGCCTACATAATACTTCTAATTCTGTGTGTTGAGCCTTTCAATTGCAAGAAAGTCTTCAGTATAGCTTGAGAACAGTATAAAAGTATTCCATTAGTATTAGGCTACACATAATAGCAATTGCAGAATCTGATCCTGAAACAATTGAAATTTCAATATGCTAAAAATATAATTATACATTTTATGTGCCAAGTTAGCTTCTCTATCACTTACTTCTCCACTATTGAAGCAAGAAAAAAGGCAAGGAAAAAAGGCCTCTTTTTCCTTCCCTAAGAAATGCGCTTTTAAAAACTCCGTTGCTGTATTTTTTTTGCTTTTTCTAAGATATACTCAGTCAGAATCTACATTTGTGTAAAAATATTTTATAAGGCATAGGCAACAACATGTTGATACTAGAGAAAACCCACTAATTATTTCTGTTGTCTCTTCCTTTTTTAAGGTCTGTAGATAGTTATTTTTTGAGGTGCTTTAGTGCTTCACATATCACATATTGAAAAAACAGACCTAAAAGCATACTGTAGATTACAAAGAAATCTAGCTGTGGCAATAAACACAAAAACTTAAATTGTATCAGAATTGACTTAACTGCGGTCAATGAATGATGTTTGTCTTGGTTGCCCGGAGAGGTTGTGGATGCCCCGTCCCTGGAGGTGTTCAAGGCCAGAGTGGATGGGGCCCTGGGCAGCCTGGTCTAGTATTAGATATGGAGGTTAGTGGCCCTGCATGTGGCAGGGGGGTTGGAGATTCATGATCCTTGAGGTCCCTTCCAACCCAAGCCATTCTATATAGAATCATATGATTCCATGATTAATAGTGAAACTATATGCATGTTTAAAAAACAGCTGAACAAAATGAATGAAAGAACAAAGCCAACCATTCCCCCAAAAACCCACATAACTAAGGCTATTTAATTACACACTGCTTTGTTCAAACACATCTTCTAACATCAAAATATATTTATTTGAAGGCTACTGTCTTCATATATTTTATGATTGTCTTCTACCTTCCAAAACGTCACCAGTTTCTTTAAAGGATGATTTAAGAATACTTTTTATTACAAATAAATAAATGAAAGGACTTGAGGAATTGCAGTTATTTCCTGAACCTCAGCTGTGTAGAGGAAATGATAGAAGTATCTTTTTTTGTAGAAACAGATTTTAGTAATTCACAATGAAATCGTAAAGATCTAAAAGCAATTCTGAATAATTTTTATGCTTTTTTTTTTTAATTCCAGCTTACATTTTATTCTTTTCTGTTATTGCACAGAAGCAACTTTAGAGCTCAATTCATCTTTATCCCAGATCTTTAATAATTTCTGTGAAGTTTCCTGTATAGAACTTCTGGGCCTTCTAGAGCTTGACTGTCAGGGTGGCTTCAATTCCTTGCATTTTACGAGTGTGTTGCTGTTACATGATCACCTAGCTACGTGACCCCAAGGCTTTTTGTGGATTTTCCTTTCCTACTATCTTTATTATCATTGACATTAATAAAGTCAATGCATTACCTTCTTTTATTCTGACTTTCTAGCCTGTAGCCAGGAAGAATCATCAGAGAAAATAGCAGTAGCTCTTCCTTCTCTTGGTGATTAAGATGTAAGAACAATCTAACAGAACCTCTGTTTAAATCATTTACTGATTCCCTTCAAGCATTAGAATTCATTTCTTTTATCACAGGTTAATCATTTTTTTCTGCAATAGAAACCAAGTACATGGCTGTAGTGTTTGTATGGCTTTGCTTAACTAGTTCAGCTGTTTCAGAGGAGCAAAACCATACATCTCAGCCAGAATCTAGATTTCAAAACAGAATCATACTGAGAACCCAGGCTTTAAAAAGCACGTGGATTTGTGACTGAGCCGCAGGGATTGTAATGTTACATAAATGAAGCACACTCCTCATTCAACATGGAAAGATGAAGACCCAGCAATCGAGTAATGCTAACTGCCTTCCTAGGAAGGCATACTATTTACTTTCCAAGGATGCTATGATAAAATTTGACTTATTAGCAGTTTGAAATTCAAAAATTTTAAACCAGCTTACTCAACATCACTGCATTTGAAGACATCAAAACCTATAAGTATACATGAAAATGAACTCTGGTAAACATTTTTCGTTATGGCTAATATGTAATGATATTTAAAGGGTTCTTCTTACACACAATTTATTTTTGTTAAAGTAGAAGCCAGTAACATCCAAAGGTGGTCATATTGCAAAGGTCAGTAACACTTCAATTCTTGAAGTCAGGGACATCATTATATATTTTTATTATTGCATCTCACCCATGTATCTCAGCTATCAGTGTTGTCTTTTAACAGATCAAATGGCTTCTGACCTTCTGATGTCTGTGGTAATCTTTATGCTGACATGTCTTCTGATTTTATGAGAATTACTTTGAGAAACATGGTCTTTAGCATAAAGAAAGGAGGCAGATATGTCACATGAGTCATAATTGTTACTAATTTTCAGGGAAATCTTGGATAGATCTTAAAATTGAATCATAATAAACAAACAAACACAAAACCACCTTTGAAATATTTATGTCAGCACAATATTAAGGAAAGTTTATTAAAATATTGCAGAGAGATTTGTGTTTAGTTGGCACCCTACTGCTGTTATTCTTCCAACTGGGACATTAATGCCAGGGGAACTGATTCCGTTAGCCTATTTTTAGATGACTTCTCTTCACAGTGCAAATACCAGAGCACCATAATGCTCTCAAAGACCAAAAGCTCCCAGAACTGTCTGGGAAGAGTGTAAACTCAAAAGGTTATATGAATTTGGTAGAGATTCTTCCTCTGTTCAACAGAAGATATGGTCTGCATTTCTAAAAGGTCCTAGATCTGCCAGTCATCTCACATATGCAAACACCTACATCCATAGAGAAAATAAAGGACCATGGCCTTCATTACTTCTATCCACTTATGTTAACGTTTAATGCCAAAGATTCTAACAGAAGTTGAAGGATAATTTTAATACAATTAAATAAGAGAAAAGTAATGATACTTCTCATTCCCACAGCTTTTCAATGTAAAAATAATTATCTTCCCAGGTCTCTGTAGAATAGGCATGTATCATTATCCATACTTTAAAGAGAGTACGGTGAGGATTGGCAAGGTTAAACAAATTTCTCAGAATTAGACAAAATGCAGGAAACCAAGAATAGCATTCTAATTTCTTGTCACCTTGTTCAGTTCTGTTTTCACAAGATCAGCCTTCATTAAGTTGTCATCTGAAACAGCTTTTAACTGATTATACCATGAAGAAATTAAATGACAGGCATCCAAAGTTCATTTAGGAGACAGAGTATATGAAAATCATTGCACTGAAAGTGAGTTTTGTCAGATATGACAGCCTGAACTCCCTGCTTCATTCGATGCTGCTTCATTCGATGAAAATTGCCTGTGAACTTTCTCTGAAACTGGTGCACTCACTGAAACAAAAACAAAAGTTTGTTTATATAGCAGAAATGACCAGATTGTACCACATCTAGATCTCCTCCTAGCACAGAGTTTTCTGCTACTCTAGAGAGCCCTAAATATTGTTGATTTCCTCTAATAGTTTCTGTATCGCGAGCCTTCATTGTTACCAATGATGGTAGAGAATGATCTGTAGCTCATGACAGTAAAGAGTAAAGCCCTTAGCTTTACTCTTGACTCTCTTTTACCTGTTTCAGGGGAATTGGGCTAAACAGGCATATCTGCCATTTTTGTCCATTCTTGCCAGATTTTGGAGAAGACTTCAACTTGAAAACACTAAAAGCAAAACTGTCTCCTGACAAAGTCACATGACAGCTATCCTGTTCAGGCAACTTTAAAACCTCAAACATCAATACAAACTGGGTGATGGAAGGATTGAGAGCTGCTTTGCAGAGGCAAAGGTGGAAAAAAGCTGGATACAAACCAGCAGTGTGTTTGTGCAGCCCAGAAGGCCAAATATATCCTGAGCTGCATCAGAAAAGGGGTGGCCAGCAGGGAAGGGTAATTGTCCATCCTTGCTCTGCACTTGTGAGGTCCATCTTGAACAATGCATCCAGATCAAGGTCCTCCAGCACAGAAAGGGCATTGGAGCTGTTGGAATGGATCCAGAGTAGGGCCACAAAGATGATCAGAGGGGTGGAGCATCTCTCCAACAAAGACAGGCTAACGGACCTGGGTTGTTTTGCTTGGAGAAGAGAAAGCTCTGAGGAGATCTCCTTGTGGCCTTCCAGTATCTAAAGGGAGCTTGCAAAAAGTTGAACAGAGAAGTGTTGTGATAGGACAAGGGGGAATGGTTTCAAACTAAAACACAGCAGATTTAGATTATACATTAGGAAGAAATTTTTTACTCAGAGGATGGTGAGGAACTGATGCAGGTTGCTGAGCGAAGCTTTGGATGTCTCATTACTGAAGGTGTTCAAAGTCAGTTTGGACGGAGCCATAAACAACTCTATAGAATGGGAGGTGTCCCTGCCCACAACACATAGTCGTTCTTCAAGATCCCTTCTAACCCAAACTATTTTATGATTCTATGGAAGGTAAAAATCAGAGTTAACAGTTAAAGTCATGTTCTTTTTCTGTGAAAAGAAGATTTAATTTACTATTTATTTTATTTATAAGTTTATTTTACTATTAAACTGTAAGGAGTGTACACTGAACACAGTGCCTGAAGTAAATAAAAAAATTATAATCCTGACATTTCTGTTTAGACTTGTCTTTAGGGGATGAGTTCAAAAACTGTTTTCATGAGTTTTTACAAATTTCATCTACAGCAAAAATTTAACTGCTTTCACTAAGCATCACTGCCAGGAAAGTGTCAGAATTCTTCTCAGTAAATCTGCTTCTACAAATTTTTCCCAGGTAGAAAAAAGAATATGTTTTGCAAAGAATATGAGTCTTGAGTCTTCTGGCACAAAAAAAAAAAAAAGAAAAAAAAGTCAGTACATTTTCTTCTCCCATCATGACAATGATTGTGCAAAACGGGTTATTCCTTCAAGACCCTGATGAGGCATACTGCTGACATGCAGACCCCAGTCTACTCAGGTATACATGAGAGCTGCCTGCAGTGGGAACTCTAAGGAGCAGCCTGCAAAAAAACATTGGAGCAATACTGATAGGACCTGAGAATCTTACTGCAGTTCTAAGCTTTGCTTGTTTTTGGTTTTTTTTTTGTCTGAGGGGCTCTATCAGGGCACTTCAATTTTAGGGCACAAAGAAGTGCTTTGCTGACAGTACTGACTCCAGATACATTACTGACAGCATACCTCATTTGCCAGAGGTCTTAACCCTCTAATGACAGTAAGGACTACTCAGTGCTTCCTCAGTAAACACACAGACCATGCTTGAAAGATCTCCAAGATGCATTCAGGGGGTTCAGAGCAAATGCTACTCTCTAAATACATAAAGGAATTGCAAAACTGGGTTTCTCTCACCTTCCCCCCCCTTCATTTTATTTATTTATTTATTTATTTTTAACTCAGGTGAATTTTTATTTCAGAAAAAAAGCTTTTTTTTTTTTTTTGTAGAGACATGAGAATTTTTTTTTTAGTAGAAGAAGATAATAATTGCAAGCTTGTTCGTTGCTTGGAAAACATTCATTCTGTAAGAACACATTAAGACAAAAAAAAAAGCTTGGCTTTTTTTTTTTTTTTAAACTAATTTGTCATATCTAAATCTAATATAACAGATCTCAGTCCAGAGCATATTGCAAAATGTCCATTGCTGAAATGGCTTCTATCCAAACCTACAAGTGTGTTTTTTTTTTCCTCCAAATTTATATAGTTCCCTAGTGTTTGACCATTTGCAATAAGTACAGTAGAGTAGATCAAGCTTCTAAGTCTAAAGCTTCAGGCTTTTAGCTGATGTGATTCAGAGTTATTAGGTCTACTGGAATGATTTGTATTACAGATGGGAAGGAGAAATGCATAGACGTTTCTGCTCCTTTAGAAAAGGATTGTGTCTATAAAATAATGCCATTAGTTTTCCTCCTCAGATGTGTTCTAAGAGAAATGTCAGGCAAAACCCTAAGGGAAGGATTTTGGTATGATTTTTTTTTATATTTAAAGATAATGTTCAGAAGAGAAGGATCACTTGTTAGGTAGGTGTTTTATTTTGAAGTGAAAAAAGTGGAAGGCATTCCGTAAGGGACTTGAAAACAAATTTATCACTTCACACATTAGGTTATCTAGAGATGAGATTTTTGGCACAGCTTTGAGGACAAATGTCTATGATCAAAGAAGTTTTTGCGGATTAGCTGCACATTAAACATGTAAATACACTCACATCTAATGAGTATGTAATGGACAAAAATGATTAAAGTATCCTTTTGAATCGCTGGCTAGATTCTAGGTATATACTTTATAGTGTTAAGAATAGCACTTCCCTCTCTTCCCTCCCCCCCCCCTTTTTTTTTTTTAAAAAAAAAAAAAAAAAAAAAAACATCCTCCTCCTCTGAAAAAAAACAAAACAATTACACTGCTAAATAAAACTTATTTTGAAAGACAGAAAGAGGAACATTTTGTTGTGGAATACCAACCCTTTGGAAGCTGGAGACAATGCTGACTGTGGCGAAGCTCTCTCCATCACTCAGGAGTCTGACATCCTTGGCAACAAGCTGGCCAAACTGCATGAATCTGATGTTTGTATTGCTTACATCTCTGTGCTAGCAGCTGTTACCATGCTATTAGCCTTCTGTAGTCCTCATGTAACCTCTTGAAACTTATATGGGCTCCATGCTCTGAGTCTACCTGCCAAATATTTAAAAAAGAATAATCATTATCTCTCACTTTCTTTTCATTTTCCACCTGGGGGTGAAAATAGCTTGATTAGTTTGGGCAATGACAGGAAGCTGGAAGTAGTCCAATCATGATTTTTCAGTCTGAAGGATTTATTTCCTTTCATTTCATTTCTTTCCATTCAGCTGGAGGTAATGAGGTTATGCAGGTCCGATTTCAAAGGACACAATTTTGAAATGCTGTCTTTTTCCTAGGTACATTATAGCTTTAAAATGATGATTCTGATGAAGTTGCATAAACTAGACTATAATCCACTTTCTTCCCCTAGAGACAGGGTGGCTCAGCAGTGAAGATATAGTGATGTTTTTTTTCTCTCCACTAAAGCACACAAGAACAGATCTGCTGAGTAGGAAGTGCTATTTTTACATAATCACTTTTCAACTTAGAGCCTCACTCCAGGCATTTTGAAGAGACCAAACTGAGCATGCTGATAGTCACTTCTCTGGCTGCAGAACTGTGCAGTGTAAATCACTTATTAATTTAATAGCATCCTCTTTAGCCATTCTGCTCTCAACTAACTCAAGTCCTTCCCTATAATTGCTCTTAACATTTCTGGGGCTTTTCATCTACAAGTTTTCTCTGTAAGAGAATTCATAGCTATTGAAAAGAAATTTTTATATCATTACTGTCTAAAAAAAAATAATGGAATACTGTTTGTTTTCAAAATTCTTTCTGATGTAGGATTAAACTAGGATGCATTGCTATAGTATCTGAACATCTAATTTATTCTCACAATCAGCACGCTGAGGAAAAAAAATGCTATTATCCTTATCCTCATTAGTCATGGGAGTTTTTCACTGCAAGTTATCTAGTACCCACTTAAAGGAGCTAAAGCCAACTTTCATATCTTGATAGAGTACCTTAGGAATAGTTCAAATGTTAATAAAGTGGCAAACTTCATTAAAGGAGTTCATGCCAAGTGATGCAGAGGCAGATCTCTGCAGATCAAACTTAGACTCCTTTCTCTTCATCTCCTAGACTCCCTCCAGCTGCTGCCATAGACTCGGCAGTTCTTTCTATTGTCAGTAGCTCTGGTATTAGTGTAGTTCTCTCCATGTGGATTACGCTCAACATTTCTTTTGTCTAGGCCTTACTATAGTCTGGGCTGGCTTCTAGCAACTCTCCTGTATCTATTGCCTATCACAAAGAAACAGAGGTGTGAAAAAAGCACTTCCCACCAAGAAAAACACTCATAAATCATAGACTTGTGAATGATGGAGTAACAATAACTACTCAAAGCTTTTGTGGAAGGCGAACCTTTGGCTACAGGGCATAGTTTTTCCACTATGTTTCTTACCAGTTAGAATATAGATGCAAATTTATTTCATACATATTTGTTCATATGTATAATTGATGCAGAAGTTTTCACTTAAGAAGCATGAGGCTAATTAACTTTTTTGAATGCCAACTGGGCTACAAGGTGTTTGTAATATGTAGTTGACTCCCAGAAAAAAAGGAAAGAGGTGTCATAAAGGTAATCAGAGATATAAAGTATTTTTAAGGCCTCCCATCATTTCTTCCTTTCAAGATGAAGCACAAGCTTCGCTTGTTTTCAGACCTCACTTTAAATATCCACAGAAGCTTTTACATCAAGACAGTGTGCAACTGCAGAGGGCCCATATCTGTAGGTGGACTTTGAGTAGAGCTCTCAGTTACTGACTTGGTGCATAGAAGTCACTAAACATTAGTCAGCTTAAACTCAAAGTACATTTTCATTTGTCTCATGCTGAAAGTTAATATCATTTTAGGTTCAGTTGGACAAGGACTTTTCTCATTTAAGTGTTTCACTGAGTTCTGAAGCAAGCAGAAGGAATGAAAAGGTAAATTGTGAGCATCACCTATATGCATATATCTGGGCACTTATCTTGTTATTGGAAAGACATTTTTCATATGGTCCTTTCAACCAAAAGTAAGAAACAAAATAGTTTTAGGACTGGAATTAAATGTGAACTTCCAAATGTGAGATAGATTCCCAAGATACACTTTACAGTAAACTATTGACTTGCTATGGAATTATTCACTTAAGGAAGCAAGGCCACATTGGATGAACAGACAAGTGAAAACACCTTTCTCAATAATGGCATTTTGGGAATCACCTTGAAAAATCACCTATATGAATTACAATATCCAAGCAATAGATTTAATCACTGCACATACTGATCTTACAAACAAGCAAATAAGTATTGTGCCATGTTCATTTTGAGATTTAATGTCATGTACACATCAACAAGCTTAAAGAGCTGGAATCCTTTATGTAATAAACAGATAAATGACTGCAGCATTCTTTACATCCTTGTGTAAATAATGCAGTCCACTGAATAAGTATTTTTAGTTCTCACTGTTCAGTGACTCATCTGTATGTTAACTTCAGTAAGGCAAGAAAGAAGCTGATGAAACAGTTTTTAAATGATAGTTGAGTATTTTCCCAGGAAGAAATGTATTATATGATGCAGTTCATTTGGCAAGCTTTAACACATTTCTGAAATATAGGTGTTCTATTTTTTTCCTGCAAAGTTGAACTGAAAATATGGTTTTACTTCATGTATGTTTTTAAAAAGAATGTTTCACATAAATTAATGTTGCATTTAAATGTATATTAGATTTGGTAATACAGAATTATGCATTAATATATTAGTGTTTGGACTCTCCTTTTGTGCTGCTTTCTCTGAGAACCTGAAAACACTCCAGGAGAGAAATGCCAACATGCTAAGAAATGCAAGATATTATTTGGCAGAAAAGCATTAGTAAGAGAACTTCTTTCCAAGTGTAAAGATGAAAAGATAAGATGACATCATTTCTTCTGCCCATGAGAATGTTGCTTTCATGTTTGAAGTGAAGGGATTATTAGAAGTGTTATTAAAAACCTTAGTAAAAAAAAAAAAAAAAAAAATTAAATTCCAAGATTGATCCAATCGCAGTCTACCTGCTAAGGTCTTAGAAATGAGTAATATTAATAGTAATAATAATATTGAAGGTTCTTGTAAGAGACTGCATACCTGTAAAACGAAAGCAAAAAATATTAATTTCTCTATGGCACTTTTTTTTTTTCCCCCCCAGTGGCAGATATTCTCCCTTTTCTGCCCAATCTTTTTGATTAATGTAGTTCAAAGGCTGCCACCTCAACTGCTGGAAATCAGTGCTGTTTGGTGCTGACAAAGAAAAATCCGTATAGACACAGGGAGAATATGGTTCACTAAGGGGAGTATCAGCTAAGAGTAGGAGAAATGAAAACAAAAACTGTCCAATGAATAGGTTAAAAAGCATAGCTTTTGTTCAGATTCATCTGCTCAAAAATGAAAACACAATTTCAGTTCTAATAGCAGAGTTTTCCCTCATTATTTACACACGAAAAACAATTCATTTACTGTTTTTCCCTGTGCAGGAGCTACAGAGATGAGGAAGTGCTTGTAAATATGTCAGATCCTGTGATTGGGAAATTTCAGCTTGTATTAAGCTTCTGCTTAATTTCCTAAAATTTGCAATGCCGTAAGAAGGTCAGAAGAATTTTCCCTTCTCTCGCGACTGCTTTTGCAGTCTGCGTTTCCCCGATGCGCACAATGCCCTCTGCTGGTGAACAGCTCGCATATCAGACCGGATCGCAAGACGCACAACGGCTGGAAAATATAGGGACGTAAATTTTATTTATTTAATGTTATTAGTGCTTCGAATTCCTGGTACGTTTACATAAATAGAGGTGCTATGAATCTTTCTTCATCTTTATTTGGAATGTTTGTAGAAAAAAAAAAAAAAAAAAAAAAAAAAAACAGTTGAAACATTGCATTTTATCCCAACATATAAACACTTGGGAAGATTTTGCCTAGATAGTGCTCTGGTAAAGGCTTCCACTTTCACAGAAACAAGGATTAAAAAAAAATTGAAAATAATTGAATGAAAAATGGAAATTGACAACTTGCCTTCCTTAATCCCATCTCCCTGATCATAGAATGGTTTGGGTTGAGAAGGACCTCAAAGATCATCTAGTTTCAACCCTTATGCCATGGGCAGGGTTACTAACCACTCAACCAGGCTGCCCAGAGCTACATCCTGCCTGGCCTTGAATGCCTTCAGGGATAGGGCATCCACAACCTCTGATTCCTTTATTTGAGAACTGGGAAGAAGGAGAGGCTCACAGAAAAGGAAAGAACGAGCATATGAAGTAGTGACTGGAAAAGAACTTCAAGCTGTAAGTAAGGATGCTGTCTGTGGCCATTTTATTCCTGTGATGTTCCAAAAGACAAGGATTTGTACTCTCATCAACAGCAACAGGACAATAGAGATATACTTGATAGATAAATTACTAAGCTTCCTTGACGCAAGTTTTTTAAACTCAGTATTTATGTGTAGTTTTACAACTTTTTAACATGGCCACTTTCCTATGTCAAAGACTATCAGTCTTAAAACATACTAACCTTTATACTCAAGAGAAGGCAAAATTTTAAGCAAGACATGCGAAAAAAAGAAGTGCAAATGTCGCACTTATTAATTATAAGATTCCAGGAAGAAAGAATAACAGATGCACAATGCTGCTTCTTTAAAATTCAGACACACTATTTTGTTCTTCTTCAGCTGTATTTAAATACTACTGCTGCTGAAAGGTGTTGAGATTATCCAGTATAAACCGATTTAGACATTAAAGAATTTTCTTGCCTTCAGTCAGATTGTTAGTGACAGTGTTGTGGGTTGCAAAGGGCTGATTGTGAAATCGGGTGAAAAACAATAATTCAGAACATTCGTTTGAACATGACAGAGCTGACTGGAGGCTCATCATAAAAACCAGCTCCATTTAAATAAACACAGGGGGAACTGATTTCAGTTAGTTTTATTCCTGGGGGAAGCAGGCACACATAGTAAAAATTAATAAAAATAAATAACAATTCTTGCTTAAAGGTCAAATGTGCTTCTTCCCACAAACAATTTGTATTGAAAGTTAGTGGAAAAAAAAAAACAAAACAAAAAAACAAAAAAAAACCCACCCAACAACACTCCAGTTGTATCAGCTTTTACATCCCTTGAATGAAAAGCACTCTATGTTTAAACAAACATCTTATTTCAGGTCATGGCCACTTTATTATTATGAAATGTTCTCATGCCTTTAAGATCTTTCAAAGAAATTTCTCTTGAACCTCAGTTTTGGCAGTGAACAAGAGATGTGCTAATTAGATAAGAAAGCTAACTCCATTTCTATGTGCCTGCCTGTACTTAAGTCCTAAGGCAGCTCTTTTCCAGAATGATCCATGCAGATAATTTTTCTCACAAAACACTTGTTCAGTTATGAGTATCACTTGCCTTATTTTTGTTTGTTTGGTTGTTTTCTGTGGGGAGACAAGTTCATTCTGACTACTCTGAACGTAGCCACATTGCCATGAAGGGAAGGCTGAGACAATGAACCATTTCAGAACCAGTACCAGCAAGCCCTCAGCACCCTCAAAGTGCCACACAGACCCAACACATGGCCATTGGATAGTTATTTCTCTTGTTGAAGGCTAGCACAGTAACACTGGACTAGACTTTCTTCCTACTAGAAACGTTTGGTGTTTATGTAAGTGTATACGTAAAGTAGGATATAATGAATGATCCATTCAGGGTGGTCTAAAAAAAAAAAAATCAGGAACACTAATTATTTATGTGAACAAGGAAGAGGGATCTAGAACTTCCTATTTGCAAACATCAGCAGAAGCTTCCGAGAGATGTATTTGAAAGCATTCTTGCTATCTACTACAAATGTGAGGCCCCAGAAATTGAAGGCATGTCCTACAGAGTGACACAGCTACCATTTGGCATAGCAATCTTAACAAGATCTGAAAAACCAATAGGCTACTTTTGTGGAAGAGAAGAACAATGTTAGGTTAACTTTATAGTAAATCCAATAGTCAATATCATTCCAAATTAATACTGATGACTTAAAGAACTGATGACTTTTTGGAAAACAAATTCATGCCACACATTACAATTCTAGTGAGGAATTGCTTTCTACATGATATTTTGTGGCTTACCAACTTCTGGGGAACAGGTAGTTTATTTTTCAGAGGTGCTCCTTGCATTTATCTAAAATCTTGTCCCTGAGTAATTTTACTGACAACAGATATCATGGTTAAACCTACAGTTGCTCAGTGTTGACATTTCACTTTTTGTTGTATGCTTCTTAGAACCCAAATCACTCAAAGTGCATTTGGGAATGAACTGACTTTCAGAGATCAGACTGTATCTTAGAACAGGTTAAGGTCAACCAGGTTGAAAATAATCTCAAAGGATAATGGGACAAAACAGAACCATATACTGCATTAAACACAGTGAACTGTTTTTCAGTCAAAACATCTGAAGCTTGGGAAAACATTGTTCCTTTCGTCAATTTAATACATTTATTACTACCTGTCCTCCCTATGAAGCAGCAAAACAGCTTCTGACAAGATCTTTATAATACCAGGCAAAGCATTTCTGAGAATACCAATAGCCATATACAGAGAAAAGGCTGACTCACGCAGCTGGTGATGAGGATCCCAAGTTGTGGAACACTCCTTCTCAGGAAGGAATCTTCATCCAAAGGACGTTCTGTCTCCCCAAGATAGCCCTTAAAATCAGGCTAGGGGGAGTGTGGACCCAGAGTCTACCCGTTCTGGTCAGGTGGGAAGCATAGGTAAATTTTTTGCACCTGTGCTTCCTGGGCTATCCATACCCTTTCACCGGGTGCTCAATCATCAGTTCAGGCTATAGCTGAACAGTTTCCCTACACTACTCAAGTCTTATCCCTTGCCTAACCCCTGTTTTCTCTTCTGCAACTGACTGATAAGGGAAGTGATAGCCTATGGTTAATGGGCTCTCAGCTCATTTTGACAGATATGGAAAATACCAATAGCTTAACTGAGAACCAGTGATTTGCAAAGGAACGTATTTTGGCTAGGGTCAAGCTTCAGGATTTTGCAGCTCCCTAAAACAATTCCTCACTCACGTCACCTTAAACTACCACAGTGAATGTGCAGTCCTTGGTCCTCAGCTTGTCTCCCTGGGCTGATGTTTCCTCTTCAGCCACTAATTACACTGAATCCCAACAGGTGACAGTGGAGGAGGAAGATGAATCATTTGGATTCTACTGCTGTGGACTGACTTATCTCTGAAACAACTGGTGAATTCACCAAGAGATATAGCCTGCAGCCCCCGCTCCAGGCCTCCACTTCTTGTGAGCATCATCTTTGTCAGCACACAGCCCACTGAATCCCAAGCAGAGTACTGGTAAGATGATTGAAAATGCATTAATCACTAAAAATTTTGCCTGTTGCAGTTCATTATGTTGAAATACTTTTTTGGTCTCTTATAATAGCTTCTGAGCAGACTTACATGACAAATCACAAAAGTAGAACTGCAAAACTTATTGTTCAACTTAGGTTCCTTGATGTTTCCATCTGCATGGCTCTGTTCAAACAGCACATGCAGATGAACATATGGTTCAAGCAGGATGAGACTGGGAGGTGGGAGAATACCCAAGAGAGTAAAGGGCTTCTTACACTAGAGGTAGCTGAGCCTTGGGAAGAAAAAAATCCTAAGTATTCACTCATTTACTGACTCCAAGAAAATCTTCTATTTCCTTTTACATCAAAACACTTGCCTTTTATTTTTATTTTTATTTTAGTTGAAAGACAAAAAATAACTTGAAATAGAGATAATATGTAATTGGCTTTTACCCAACAGCATTTTTTATCATAAATTGAGACTGGCTGGCTGCCCTGGAGATTCTCTTTTTATTAAATTGTCCGTGCCCTGCACAATCTTCCCCAACATCCCTGAAATTCCAACAGTGATGTCTTGAGTTGGCTCAGGAATTATGTACAGCCATCCCTTCACATTGTTAATGCTATGGAGAAGAGAATAGTGAGCAACAATACCGAGGCTCGGGCAGAAGAAAATGTATATAGGTGTTTTCTCACGCAGAGCAGCGTGCCATAGATAATACATTTGAAGACCACTAGGTGGCAATTTAGCTGCCCTGTTTTAAATGTTTAATATATACCAACTTTATTTATTGTGTTATACTCTAACTTGATGCACAGCAAATAGAACAAAGTTCTGGAAGATCTATACTCTCTGTTCCTGCCAAATTTATTGAAGTCTCTGCTTACTGTACTACTCCTGGATGTTCATTAAATTCAGTGAGCACCTCTGAACACATTAATGAACATCTCTGGCCTGGTAGCAGGGCAAGGAATTTTTCACTGTCACAGAAAATAAGAGTTCTTCTAACTCGTAATGGATATTTTGTGGTGTAGGCTATATATGACTTGCAATTCTCTATCCTGTCAAGAGGCTGACTCTGTCTGCAGCCATAGCTATGTGGTTGTGAGATAGCTACCTGCTTACACTGAATGTGAATTTGTACAGCAGCACAGCTAAGGTGGCAGGGGAGCTGCTGTGGTCTTTATCTATACTTACTAGATGAGTCTATGGTGATAGCACACACCTCCTATCTTCTACTAACTGAATACCCAGAAATACAGTATGAATCACTTTCCTAGAAATTCAAAACAATGCACCTTGCAAATGAACAACTATTTTACATTTGTCTGAGAGAACTGTATTGCTGCAGAAAGGCCTCCACATCTGGAAGATTTATGACTGGCATGTAAAAAGAGAAAGACAGAGGAATTGAGCCATTCAAGTACATGTGTATGCAAAAGTACGGTTTTCTACATTAAAAATGGTATACAATTTATACTAAAAATGCTCAGTCTATATAAAAAAGCATTGCAGACTGCATAGAAGAATTGTGTTTTAGTTGCATAATGCTTCACCTTTGGGTTAATGCTCATCTTTAGTTCCTCACTTCAGTATATAAGATTTTTTAAATGACTGATCCCAGAACTTCTGTGAAAAGTATTTTTAGTAGTGCCCATGGTTTATGATTCAGTAAGGAGAAATACAAAATATTCTTTTTAGTGATCTCAAGTGACACACACTAAAAGCAATGAGCTTTTGATGTGCTAACATTTGTTCCCATTAAAAAAAAAAGGGAGAAAAGTAGCATATTGTAAAATTTCACCCTTCAGATGCTAAAAATAAGAGAAAAAGGAAGACAAGAATTGCTTGAAGTCAGAAAGCAACAACACAATATGTAGTGCTTCTGTAGCTTCAAAGCAGGCTGACTCAGAAGCTAATGTTTTGGTAGAAAAGGTCAAGAAAAAAAGGCTTATGATTCTCAGTGATCTTTATATAAAGTGACTCTTTGGTCTCCAGTTACATAGCTGCTATTTGATGCAAAAAGTTCAACCAGTCTGCAAATAGAAAGCAAATACTGCAAACACTCACGGCCTACAATTGCAGAGGGTGAAGAGGGGGAGAGATGAGAAATAAAATGTAAGGAAAGTAATGAAGGCTTTTGTGGAGACTGCCTCAATCCAGAAAAAAAACAGAGCAGGATAACAGAGTAAGAGAAACCAAATTTATCAATAACTAGCAGTATGAATAATAGAGAGATGGATACCACCATAGCACCTTTTTTTCTTCTGTGTCCTCTTTCAATTGAGTATTTCATTTTTAAAGAAAACCTGATGGGGATTCTCAGTTAAGGTAAGAATAAACTGGGTACAGGGCAAAGGGGGAAAGGTAGCTGTTTCCAAACAAGCCGGTAATAAAGGAAAATTTATTTGTTCTTTCATCTGTAGTTTGAGAACTGCATTTCTTTTTGTTCATCCTAATGAATATGAATATAAAGGTATCAGTGGGGAAAAATAAGATTTATTAGTAGTAAGAGGGTTAGAATAGATGTGAAACTGTGAGAATTTAAGATTCCCAGGTCCCAGTTTTGAACATCGCAAGATTCTCCCACTGCAAATGAAGATCAGGTTTGTGATCACCTGAAGAACCTGAACATTCGCAAGTCTACAGGTCCTGAGGAGAAACATCCTAGAGTCCTGAGGGAATTGGCTGATGTAGTTGCCAAGCCACTATCAATGATACTTGAAAAGTCTTGGCAGTCAGGCAAAATCCTTGGTGATTGGAAAAGAGGCAACATCACACCCATTTTTAAGAAGGATAAAAAAGGATGTCCCTGGGAACTACCGACCTATCAGTCTAACCTCTGTGCTGCGGAAGATGATGGAGCAGATCCTCCTGGAAGTTACGCTAAGGCACATGGAAGACAAGGAGTTGATACAAGAGAACCAGCATGGCTTCACCAAGGGCAGATCCTGCTTGACCAACTTAGTGGCCTTCTATGATGGTGTAAATACATCAAGGGACAAGGGAAGAGCCACTGATGTCATCCATCTGTCCGGACTTCAGTTAGGCTTTTGATACAGTACCCCACAAAACCCTTCTCTCTAAATTCGATAGATATGGATTTGATGGGTGATGGATGAAGAACTGATTGCAGGATCAAATCCAGAGAGTGGTGGTCAATGGCTCCATGTCTGGATGGAGATCATTGACAAGTGGTGTCCCCCAGGCATCAGTGTTGGGACCAATATTCTTTAATATCTTCATCAATGACACCAAAACTGGGGTTGAGTGCATACTTAGCAAGTTTTCTGATGACACCAAGCTGTGGGGTGCGGTCCACATGCCTGAGGGATGAGATGCCATCTGGAGAGACCTAGACAGGCTCAAGCAGTGGGCCCAGGAGTGCATCACGAGGTTCAAAAAAGCGAAGTGCAAGATCTTGCACCAGGGTCATGACAACCCCCACTACCAGTATAGGAGAGAAATAGAGCTGTTGGAGTGTGTCCAGAGGAGGACTACACAAATGATTCAAGGGATGGAACATCTCTCCTATGAGGACAAGCTGAGAGAGCTGGAGCTGTTCAACCTGGAGAATAGAAGGCTCCAAGATGACCTGATAATGGCCTTTCAGTCTCTAAAGGGGAGCTAAAGAAGGAAGGGGAAGCTCTAAAGAAGGAAGGGAACAGACTCTTTAGTGGGGTCTGTTGTGATAAGACAAGCAGACAATGGTTTAAACTGAAATGGGAGATTTAGGCTGGATATAAGGAGGAAATTTTTCACATTAAGGCTGGCAAGGCACTGGAACAGGTTGCCCAGGGATGCAGTGGAAGCTCTGTCTCTGGAGATGGTCAAAGTGAGGGTGGATGGGGTCCTGAGGAACCTGATCTAGCTATGGATGTCCCTGTTCATTGGGACAGGGGAGTTGGACTGGATGAATTTAGTGGTCTCTTCCAACTCTAAGGATTCAATATTCTAGCTTTTATTCTTTGTGCTTTGAAGCTTAGATATTCCCTATGATTTGATATTGTTAAAAATCCTTCCCTGACCCTGTGCTTTTTACAGCTAAGGAGAAATAAATCACACAAATTACCACCCAGGGTTTTGTTGCACAATAGGTACAGGGTACCTGAACTGAAGCCCTGCAGCTCTCTAACAAAGAAAGAGCTTCCTTGGGAGACTCTGCTTCTTCAAGTTAAGCAGTTGCAAATTGCTCATATTGACATAAAAAGTAGTTTTAGTTGTTTATTTCCCACTTGCAAGTTGTGAATCTTCATGTTCAGCTGGTAACCAGTAGAAGTAGGAATCTGTTTTCCAGAAAAAAAATGTCTTAAAGAAAAGCCTTTATCCTAGAAGTATTTGCAAAATTAA